TCGCCTCCCACACCTGTGGAAAATGATACATGGGAAGTGGATGAGATAAGCAGCACTGCTGTGACGCAACGGTGTTTACTACAGCAGGAGAGAACAAGTCAGTCTGTGGACACAGGCAGAGCGTGGGAGGCTTTGGAGCAGAGCTGGACACTATTGATCGCACAGATGAAAGCTAACCCCCCCCGTGCCGTGGAATGATGGGGGAGCAGGTCCGGCATGCCAGCAGATCAAGGTCTCCACAGCCTGTGTGTACTCTGTCCTCATCACAACAATGTGCCAGGCCTGGTCCACAGTGTGAGCGAGCACATAATAAGGCTGCACACCTTATGTCAGCCGTCTCTTGGCACAGAGGCGTCTCGTCATCCAGAACCTGTTTTCAGATTCTTCTGCCCTAGTTGTCGTACTCAACCACAGCTTACAAAAGAGAGATCGGCTGGTTTAATAATGATTTAAAAAAAATCTGAACTCTGGCAGAGCAGGGAGCTAATATTTAGGAATAGCAGACTGTCAAAGCACCTCGTAGTTCAGAGTCATCCAGAACAGATCGTCCGATCTTAATATGAACTGACACCGAAGAAGAACATTAAATCAAGAAGGCCAAGCGCCAAATGCTTTCCAATTTTTCTTTTGAAGAAAGTTCTTTGATCCTTCGTTGCTCGTGGGAAGAGTAACTCACTTCAGCTGATAAAAACGATCTGGTGAATGGCGGCAGCGTTACAGCTGAATTTCAACAAAGCTTAACATTTGAAGGCTGTTTACTGTGCAGCTCCCGTTTATTCAGTTAAGATCACTGGTTCACACAGTTGTTATCAACCATGAACAATAACATAGGATCTAATTTCAAGGTCGACACAACAGCATCAACAACTCTCCTTCTTCTTCTCTGTGACCGTTTGTGACGCTCACGCGCTGAATTAACTAAAGATTTAACATTTTCATCACTGAATTAGGACTTTCTCGATTAAGTTTGGTTGATTCCCGCTTTTAGTAATTACTGATTTAGCTTTAATACTATGCTAACATTTAGCTTATTATATAAAGTTACTTTGCTGTTGTTGGATGGCTGTTAATTATGTCGGCATAAAAGTGTACAGCTTAGTGATGCGCTGGGGCCCTCTAGTGGCATGTGCCGTGTATGTCATTGCTCTGTGGGGAAAAATTAAAGGAGTGTATGTAAACGCTAATATTGATATAAAAGTAATGACAAAAAACATCTGTATGTCATAACTTAGATCAGTTTTAACATTTTTTTTTTGTTAGTTTCACTCACTGTTTTTAAGGGTGACCTGTATTTTACACTTGACCTTTGACCTTTTTTAATCTCTTTTCTGACTTTTAGCCGGCAAGAAGGCAATCTCTAACCCCCCCGTCACCCAACACTATATCCTGGGAAGAATACATCACGGCTGACAATGGAAAGTAGGTGTCTGAAGTGTTTGGGAATAAATAAAGCAGGAATCTTTATGTGCGCCAAATGCAATATTCACATAGGTTGACATGTTTTAGTTACTGGAAGAACACTGGTAGTTTTCCATGTCTGCATTAATGAGCTGTGAGCTCTTCCTGCCTTCATCGTGGGATAAAATTTTCTGTCTCAGAGCTCCTCATCTAGGAAGAGAGCTGGTGTGCAAGGAGAGCAAGAAAAACTTCAAAGCCACAATAGCCATGAGTCAAGACTTCCCTCTGAGCATCGAATCGTAAGTCTTCATTTAAGCTGCCCTCCAGGTGGTTATTAAAAAGCAGGCAGCATCATTTTCTATTGGTATTTTCAGGCTTGTTTAGTGGGGATAAAGGGGGAAATTACTCATTCATCGAGACCTAAATGCTTTAGTAAAATAGACTTTGTTTCTGTTTGTTGATTTGGGTTCTCGTGTCCCTCAGGTTACTGAATGTTCTGGAAGTGATTGCACCCTTCAAGCACTTTAATAAACTCAGGGAGTTTGTTCAGATGAAGCTCCCCCCTGGCTTTCCCGTCAAGCTCGGTAAGCAGAGTTTTATATGGTGTTGCAAACAGTCTGCCGATTGTTCATGACTTTTTCGTGTGATGTGTTCTTCATGTCATCCATATAATTGTGCTCTCGGCTCCCCGCAGACATCCCCGTGTTTCCTACGATCACGGCCACGGTGACGTTTCAGGAGTTTCGCTACGATGAGTTTGATGAATCCATTTTTAGCATTCCCAATGATTATAAAGAAGACCCTAGCCGCTTCCCCGACCT